TAGAACATGATTGCAGCAAAAGTCAATTCCATCTATGGGCAGACATGGGAGGCATCTGTCTTGTCCCACTTTATGTAAGGTAAACAAGTTACATCACTTTTACCAATGGTGAAAAGATAGCTACCTTTGGGTTTGGTATGCTGGATGGTTTGCAAGCACCCCTATATGTCAAACTTGCATTGGAGTCTGTCTATTGTGCAATGCTCAAGAATGTGCCATTAGGCAGTTTTTAAAAGTAATATGTGAATGGGAAATTGGTGACATTCTCTATGCTGGGGCTTTCACTTTGGTCTTGTGGTTAGTTTTGCTCCAAGACAAGTCCCATCCAGAATGAGGACCAAATAGCCTCTCATATTGTGGCAGGTACCCTATTTCCTGTTCAGCTATTTGTTGATGTTGTTTGTCAAGTTAACAACCATCTTGTTGAGGTTCCTCAGCAGTTGCACCAAGTCTCCCTTTTGGGAAATGAAACACTTTGTCCAGATTACTATTATTGATTGTCGGTTTTGTACCAAAAATCTCCTATGGAATACAAGACCATTTCAAAAATTCTTCCATTCCCAATATTAGTTCTAGCACATAGTAAATATGGCCATCAAACTCCTCCTCTTTGTGATGAGGCCTCAATAGCTTGCAACCTTCCTTGGATAATAGAGAGAGGATCTGTAATAGTAGCATAGTACCCCTGAAGTGGTTACCTTCCTTTTGGGCAGTGTTTATTGACTCAGAAATGCTTGGTTTGGGAAAGTTGCTGTCTGTACTAGTAGTGACTAGCTACAAAGTCCATAGCATTCATAAGCTTCTTTGAATTAGCTAGAAAGACATCACAGAAGATTGCAGCTGCATCCAAGCTGATGCATGTGGAGCCTTGTGCCAGACAACGCCAAGTGGATACTGTTGCTGTTCACCCATTACCTCCTTGGATGGGATGATGTGAGTGTTTTTGAGAATGTTGTTTGAGTGATATGCCTACTACAGGAACTGTTGACTCAGTGAAATCTGACAGGTGCCACAAACTTTGTAAAAGAGAAAAAGTAGTCAATGACACTGATGTCACTGAATGTTCTCTGCCTGTTCCATTACACTGTTGTCATTGAATGTTCTCTGCCTCTTCTGGTCCCATGGGCATTCTTCAAGATATGTTGGTGCTCTTCTATGACATGTCAGTGTTGCCATCCTTTTTGGTGGCGTGTTGGATATCCTCCAGTTTGTTTGGAGCTGAGGCATTCATCACATTAACATTTGTGTTGATTCTGAGGGGGCATGCTGGATATTTGTAATGCCTGCTGCATTTAATTTTCATATTACTAGAAGTAAAATGCCTGCAGAGTCTATCATGCTGCTCTGTGCCACCTATGAAAAACTCAACAGCAATTCTGAAGTTTGCCATTCCATGGACAATTGTGCCACCAAATATCATTTGACAATTGGCATGCTTCTCTGAAGGAGACAAAAGCTGCCCATAAACCATAAAGGAGGCTATTGACATTGTCTACTGACTGATTGCTATTTCATTTGGGGATGATAAATTATCTCCAATGCATCAGGTCTGGGGGAGCGTGGAAAAGCACTAAATATGCCAAGAGTCATCTTTAGGGGACAAAGGGTTGTGCTTCTAGGCCTATCAATAGCAACAATGCTGTTCATACAAAATATAATAGGGACTAGCATTTTGTCTTTATTTGGGTTGCACTTCTTTTTCTGTGTTTCCACCCACCATGTCATGGATTATCTTTTTCTCTCAGTTGTGGAACACAGCAAAGAGAGGGTTCTGGTTTGGGAACAACAAATTCTCTGCTTTCATTAAAGAGATATTGGTTAGGAGAGATTGTAGTGTACATATCGTATAGCATTGGCTGAGTGATTCCGGCCAACCCAGTTGTACATTAGCAATTAAAGATATACGCACATGTATATTGGTCAATATTCATCGTACGCCATACTCCCTCACAGCATTAGTAGAAAGCTCTTTGAATTCGCTTTTTAACCATGTGCGTCCGTTGGGGAAAAAGTTATGGCTGTTTGAGTGAGTTGAACCTTTCTTATTGCCCTTTGTGTTTTTTGTACTGTGCGTCAATTTTGGGCCTTCTTTTTACTGTGTAATGACCGATGGGATTAAAATTTGACTTGCACCAGGGCTACAGCGTGCACATGCAAGCGCGAAACTATTTGGTTGCACAGATGTGGGGTACAAAAATTCAGCACGTGCCCGCTGTAAACTGCAGTACAAGTCAAATTTTAATCCCACAAGTCATTACAGGGTAATTAGATAGCCAAACATCTACGACTGGGTCGTACATTTGCCCGCCAACTCTATACGATAGGATCTCACATAAATCAGTTTGTCACTGATGTCATCACTGGTATGCCACCAGCCAATAAGAAGCTGCAGAAGAAAATTGTCACTACATAGGTTAGGAGCAGCTTCATAACAATCAGCATCAAGAACAATCTGTTGTGTTTTGATCAAACTGTTTCCAGTGATTGTCCAGGTGAAACTGGTCAATCTCTCCAATTCCATAGCATATTTGTATAGCTCTCTTTCATCAACTAATGGTACTTCTTTGTGGTCTCTCATAATATTCATTAGCTTGATTTTGACCTTTTGTCAGGGCAATTTATACTAGTAAGCTTTTTTCAAAGGGTGTTGTGAAATATGTCAACATCAACAGGTGAGTCAGGCCTTGTGTCCAGAGCATTGTCAACATTCTTGCACACACCATTGTCAATATGCAAATAAACAGGATTTTGATGAAACACAGAATGTTTTCTGTTGGGGATGTGATTTTTTTTCATCCACTCACCACCACCATAGTAGTAGATTTGGGAAACTTCTTTGATGTACTAGTACTACTAGTATTAAATGAGGACCAAATCTACTAGAACAGGAATGATCACTAAATTGATGAATTTCTTGATCACAATTTTTTGTGATCAGTTTTGATCACATTTTTTCCAACGGATTAGAATTAATATGTACTTATTATTACATTAATATTTATTCGATTTATATGATATGAATATATATATATATATATATATATATATTGAGTCATTAATGGTCATATTAGTAGCACGTCGCGTTAATTCTTAATAGGGCATATTACTATATTGGTAATACAGGACTGGTGTACTATTAGTAGTAGTACAAACGTGTAAAAATATTAAAAACTTATATAAAAACGGGACTAGTACAAAATGTACACAAGACGGTTCGAATTTGTGATCAAGATTGATCACAAAAAACTGATCACAAATTTGTTATTGGGTGATTCCCGTAAACACAGATCTATGTAATATTGAATTAGAGTTCAGTCGTGCACACATAGAAGTAGTATGTGTTTTTGACACAGAATCATAGATTTTTGGTTCAGGCAGGCTCTTGACAACCATAAGTATGCAAAAAACACATAGATTTTTTGGAATCCTCGATTCAAAAATTCATTAGTCACGAGCAACTGACAGGCGAGAATACTGTTATTTTTCTGTTAATTTGAAGCAAAATTCCATATTCCTAAATTAAGCACATGTAGCGCGCCATAATTCAATATCTATGATTCTAAGATTTTACATACTTATTCCCGTTGAGTCATAGACTCGATTTATGTCAGCGTAGATTCTATGTTTACGGGAATCACCCATTTCTGATCACATTTTTTTGTGATCAAAACTGATCACAATTTTCGGTACCCAGAGGGGGGGCCTGGGAATCTAATCTTTTTCCAAAAAATTGAAATCGACATGGTTCCTGGTATGTACCGTAAGGTACGACCAAAGCAGACACGTGAAACCTGGAAATACCGGTAGGGGACATCTGTCATCACATCTTTTCTTCATTCGAGAGAATTGTTCTTCAACATCGAACTGACATATTTTTTCCTTGGACATCTTTTCTGCATTCGAGAGAATTGTTCTTCAACATCGAACTGACATATTTTTTCCTCGGACTTCAAAGTAGAAACACGGAAGATCGTTTCATCTTCAAAGTTCCAGCAGAATGTGTCTCTGACACCATTGATCCGAAGAGTTCCAAAAAGGTTTTTTTGATAAACTTTGGGGACATGACCTATCTTTTCTGGATTCGAGATAATTGTTCTTCAAAAGCGAACTGACTTTTTTTCGCCCAGTACGCAACATCGTCTACTCACTTTTCATCATAATTTCTGGCAGTTGTGACATCCTTGATGCAATTAATAGTTCCGAATACTGTAGAATTACTAGTAGTTCATATAAACTTTCACGTGTAATTTTGGATCGTCTACGCAATTTCATCTTCAAATTTCCGGCAGCATTTTAACTGTCATTTTGTCATCCTAAATCCAAATAATGGGTCATTCCCGACAGTCTAGACCTAAAGAACTGTCCGTTGGGACCCTGTTTTTAATGATTCCCGTTAAACTAAAAAGTCTAAACTAGACCATTTAGAATTTTAGACCATCTACCGGTAGCCGGTAGACTATCGGGAATGACCCAATACTAGTTAGTGTCGAATAGAAGTAGAAGTAGTTCATAAACTTTCATACAGTAATATTTAAAAATTGGTTTTAGATCAACTTTCTCAAAATAATAGTATTGCCTGCTTGTTCTCGATGCTTACATATTGGCTCTTGGGGTTCGGGTTTTGTTCGGACTGCGTAGTAGAAACACGCATGCTCGTTCCATCTTCAAATTTCCGGCAGAATCTTTAATGCGACATTGACACCCTTGGTCCAAAGAGTTCCAATAAAAATAGATTTTTTCAGAACATTCCTCAAGATAATATTTATTGCGTGCTGACGAACAATCTGCAGAAAGTACTCTCTCGATGCTTATTGGCTCTTTGACGTCAAATCGGTCAAAAATAGCGCTTACATCAAATCCAGATCAACACCAGGTGGATTAGAAAGAAGGCGATGCGCCGGTACGGAGTGCTGATTTCGATGACGCAGTTGTGCCGTCTCCTTACATCATTAATTTATTAAATGTGGACTATTTTCCAATTTTCCACATCTACCGTAGAAGAAGAACGGATTTGATTGTCAAAACCACAACAACCAAAAAACTGATGACTTTCTGTTTTTCGCGTTTCCGGAACTTCGTTTCTCAACTCCGGAACAAAGCATTAGCGGACGAAAAATTAACATCAAGCAAAGGTTGAGCGATCTCTCTTGATTTTCAATCAATTTTCACAGCATCTAGTCGATCGCGGAGTTTTGCTGGGAAGACGCAAAGGTTCACAATTATTTTTCTGTCAAACGAGAAACAATCAAAAGGTTCTCTACCGTACGCAGTTCAATTTGAAGTAGATCTAGTAAGGTGAGTCGCAAAAGATAAACCATGGCTTTGTTTTCTGGAACATGCACACGCTCACACGAAGCTTTGTATCTTGCTTCATTAAATTCTATTGCGATTGCCTTGGTTGGATTACACTAACAAATCCTTACCGGCCGTGCCAGAACAAGAACATGACCGACGCTGAGACCCAAGATCCACCCCAGGAACCGGCCTCGACCGAAGAGCAACCCAAACAAATGGCCGTGATTGGTCGCGGTGAGTCGATCATCACCAAGACACACCCCAAAGCTGACGTAGAGGCAGAGAACAGCGAAGAGCTCGCGAAGCACGAGGCGGAAGAAATCGAAGGCATCAAGGAATCCCAGGGATATTGGTTCCCCAAAATCAAGCTGAGCGCTTGGGTAAGTGGGATACGGTGTCGTCCATTGCGTTCATCACAAAATTGTCGACCGTCGAAGCCGAAGTCGACCTATTCTCTATAGTATTCTCCATAAAATGCCGTCTCGTCTTCTAACCTTCTGCGTTCCATTTCGACAAACTCACCTATGCGCACAGGATCCCGAAAACGAGAAACAATGGGAGGCTACCGGTCAATTCATCGCGAAACGCAACCTCCTTGCATCGATTCCCAACCTCACCTGCGGTTTTGGAGTCTGGTTGGTCTGGTCCGGTAAGTTGTTCTTGTCATGTCCTGTTTCTCGTCTCGTGTTTCCCGATTGTGGGTTGTTTTATGTACGAGTATTATTATCGTTTACGTTTCGACTCAAAATCAACGAATTCCTCGTTTCAAAATTTCCTACGCCGACGCCAACATAAAGTGATTGCAACGAAGATTCAAAAAATGCACGACGCAGATCCTAATGTCTACCAATTTGAAGATTGGGGTTCACCGCAAGGACAAGCCGTAAGTCAGATGAGTGGACACAAATTGCCTTGCTCCAATTCCACATTTTTCCGTCCAAGTAAAAACTTACTCTATACATGTTTTCGATTTTCTTTATCTGTTTCAATCAATGCGATTCCAATCGGTTTTAATTCTACTACAAACCTGCCTTTTCTCTAATTGAAGTACCGTTCCGTCCTTTTCCTTCTCCCCGGTGTCGCTGGCTTGTCCGGAGGTACCCTCCGCATCCCCAACAGTTTCCTCACTCAAGTTTCTGGAGGAAGGAATGTCGTGTACTCCACGTCGCTGCTACTCTGTATTCCGATGATCATTGCGGGAATCACTCTTTCCAATTCCGATACCAGTTTCAACGTACTGCTAGCTGCTGCGTTACTCTCCGGTGTTGGTGGTGGAGCATTTGCATCCAGCATGAGTAACATCAGTTTCTTCTACCCAAAGCGTCTTCAAGGAATGGCACTCGGTTACAACGGAGGTATTGGTAACTTGGGTGTCTCCATCACTCAGTTGCTAGCTCCAATCTTCATGTCTATTGGCTCTGTCGCTGTCGCACCATCCGGGATTAGTGGATGGCCAGCGAACGCTGGATGGCTATGGTTCCCTCTTTGTGCCACCTCGTCTATTTTAGCCTTCTTCTTCATGTCCAACCAACCTCATCACGGAGAAAAAACAAACCTTCGCAGTCTCGTGAACTTTTACTGGATGGAATGTGTCGGATTCCTCTCAAGTTTCATTGGCGTTATTACTCTGGTCATGACTCGTAACTCAAAACTCGTCAAGTCGCCGGGTGGCCAAGTTGCGCACAAATTTCTTCTCGTCCTCCTAACTCTCTCCTGCCAGCATTTGTTCATGTTGGCATCTCCAAAGAAGGCGAGAGATAGAGTCATCAAGCAGGCTGTTATCTTCAAACGCAAACACAATTATATCATGACCTGGCTCTACATCATGTGTTTCGGTTCCTTTATCGGATACAGTGGATCTTTCCCAAAATTGATCGTCGATCTGTTTGGCTACCTATCAGGAGATGGATGCGTCATGGACAAAATTTTCACTCTCGGTGGCGATCAGGAGACTTGCGAGGCAAGTGGTGGAACTTGGGAAACCAACTACGACTATCCAAATCCTAATGCCCCCAATGGCTCTCATGTCGCATGGCTTGGTGCCTTCGTTGGCTCACTGATCCGTCCCGTCGGAGGAATCATGTCAGACAAGTTTGGAGGAGCTAAGATGACCATGGTCGCCATCATCTGGTGTACTATCGCTGCCTTCGCCCAGGGATATCTTGTTCAAGTATGCCAAGGAATGGACGACCCCACTAAATACTATGGGTGGTTTATTTTCTTGTTCCTGAATCTATTCCTTTGCACCGGCTTCATGAACGGAAGTACATTCCGAACCATCGGAGTTCTTTTCCCTCCTGAGGAATCCGGAACCGTTCTTGGTTGGTCGTCAGCCATTGCTTCGTACGGTGCGTTCATCATCCCAACGATGTTTTCTATCGCCCTCAAGGCCGGAGCCCCACAGGTCACCTTCTATGGCCTCGGTGGATACTACATCACTTGTGGATTGCTTAACTTCTATTACTACCTCCGTCCAGGATGTGAAAAACCTGGCGTCTAAAACAACTGAAATCATATTGTTTTTCATTCGCAATTTTGTGCGAACGTCATGAAACAACATCTACGTATACATAATTGAAACTTTCACGTGGTTACAGCTCGCACCAAATGGAATTTCGAACTTCGTTGTCGAATAATATAGTGTTCAGAGTAGCATGGAATCACACTCTGTTACAGTATCCACGTCAATACTTTCTGTGCCTTTTCTTCATTGGAAGACCTTCTTCCTCCGTCTTCAGCGCGAAGGGAGATAGATTTTTCTGTAAAGTAATCTAGATCAATTTCACTATCCTTTCGTTTCTTCATCATCTGACAATGATGTTGTAATACACGGTACGATGACCTATGATAGACAGCTATCTATTCTGCTAATAGATGCCATTTCCATAGCAAATCATGATTAATTGATAAAACTCTGGAAAGGAATGGTCGAAGAAAAAATATTGAAGAGGCAATGGACTAAAATAGAACTCGAAGCTTAGAAATTCTTGGGAGGTGTCCGATTCCTTCTCTCCTTCTCGAGGCAAATTTCGTTTGCGATAAAGAGGCTGAGGTCTTTCTCGAGCCAGTAACAAGAATGAGCAGCAAGAGCCGCTACGTACTCATTCGCAGTTTCAATTTCCTTTTCTTGCAGCATGTAGTCGATGCGTCGCCCTCCGTTGAGAGATCCTGTTTGTAATACATGCGAGGATTCTTTTTCGTCTTCGCGCGGGTTGTCTTTAGTGAAGGTCGAGTCAATAAGTCCGAGGGCCTCGATTCCGGACTCCAGACTATGAATCACGTTCTCCTCTGCTCGCAAGGTCTGATCCACTAGTTTTTTCCAGAGCCGCTTCGTCTGATACTGAAAGCGGAAGCCACCGTTCCAGTGGATTATGATGTCAGGTTCGATTTCGGCATTCATGGGATTGAGAAGTGGTTCAATGCGATAGCTTACGGGATCGTATGGATGGAAAATATTGAAGACTTTTGGGCAGCCGCTCAAAACAAAGGCCGTGGTAAGCGGGTTCTCCTTGTTCCGAATCATCAAAAAGACCGGAATGGGTGATCCCAAAAGAAAAACTGAGTCCGTTTGAAAGTCGAGCTGCGGGTATCGATAGGAATCGTCGTCTCTAGCTAGATTTGGCTCGATTTGCCCCACAGGATCATTCTTTTTCTGATGATCAAGAATATCCCATGCAACGATGCTTCCAAGAGAATGTCCAATGATCGAGATTTCGCCATCGAATCCAGTGAGTGTTCGAAATCTCTTCACAATGAAATTCAATTCAGACGTTACGATATCGATAATGATGTCGTGATGCACGGGGCTCATGAAGTAAAGGATGTCCATCAGCGTATCGTTGGCAAAAGACCTGAGGTTTGGAATCGTGCGCAACGAAATGTCGTTGATGCCGACCTTTCGTTTTCGTCGATTCGCGTTCGGGGACACCGGATCCACCGACGGCCGTCTCGTGGATTGGATGGAAAAGGCTTCGTGCCACTCCACGGGCAAGTATTCCACACGTCCCGGCTTTTTTGAACCAGCCACCGAATCGTTGGTCCGAGCCAATTCGGCCAGTCGAACGTCCGAGATTTCGTTGTGATTGTCTCGAAGGTAGCCGCAGCAGTCTACAATCGTAGGAACCTTTTTTAATCCAAATAAATCAAAGGCTTTCATCATTTCTCCAATGCCGTGGATCACGAGTATGAGATGGTCGGCTTTGAAGCACTCTGCATCATCGTTGACAAGATTATCCTCGATCCGCTTGACAGGAAAAGCCAAAGACGGTCGATCCAAACGCGGGTAACTTTCTGATAGAGTCGAAAATTGATGCTCATTTTCGTCGACAGAATCATTGATTGCCGGTTTGATCTCTTGTTCTTCTTCCAAATCCTTAAAACACTCCTTGTAGTCAAGATCGATCTCCATGCGTTCGATCTTCTTCCTTGAAAGGGACTCGGGAGTGTCGATGGTTAGGTCAAGCCGTTCCAGCGCATCCTCTGTAGTTGTCGTCCATCTCGATTCGTCGTCCACTGGTACGTTAMTGTCGTCTTCAACGTTTCTGTTGAGATCATCGTTTCTCGGTTCGTTGTCGTCGCTCTGTGAACAATTGTATGCCCCCCGGTACACGCGTCGTTTGAAAAGCGCTATAGCTCCCCCGAGCCCTCTGCCGATGGCAGTTGCCAGCGTCAGGGACGAAAATTGCACGAGCTGTTGCTCGCCGCTGTCGGGACTGAGAACTTGCACCGTTAGCAACACGTTCTCATCGCTCTTGTCGTCGGAGCTTTCATCATCATCACTACGATCCCTAGCATCGGACAAAGCTTTGGTTCGTTTTGAATCTATGATCCACTTCAAAAAGTGATAGGCATCCTCCAGCATGGCCTGGGCATCTTCACCGTACGGCTGGGGGCCATTTTGTGGGGTGTCTAAAAACCACACCGCTCTGCGAATCTCATCGGGACCATAGGACCTCCACATCGTCGGGCGGTACAGCCCCAACAGAGGAGGGGGGAAAGCCAGCAGACGACCGGCTCCCCAAGGTCCTTGTGGACCGCTGGCGAAGCCTTCACCGGATTGCGCTTGCCGTTCTCCTTCTGTTGGATGGCACACGCTGCACAATTCGCTCAATGGACGGGAAATTGCTTCTTCTTCGTCCCTGGTGTGCCGTTTGCGGTATTTGGGACAGCAGCGGATAAATCGAACCGCGTGACGTTTCTGATCCACCAGGATATCTCGGTCAAAATCGGGATCTAACCACTTGGATTGGGTTTCGTATTTTGCCGATTCCCATGGCGAATCTACTTTTTGTTCGTCCTTTGGCAGGTGTTGTTCTGCGCTCCCGTTCGTGATTTCCACGGAGTCACTGCCCCCGGATGTTTCATCACCGGCAGGAACACTTGTCTGTTTCAGAATATGTCGATACTGTCTTTCCAGCATTGATCCTTCCTTGTGATCAAAAGACACCCACGGGACGTCTCTCTTGGGCCGCTGGCCGTTTTCGTACGGAAGGCGGAACCAGAGGGCAAAGGCACCCCCGGAGTGATCGGGATCGCCACACCCCTTGTCGCCGGTCTCGCCGAGCAAAAAGAGGTCCTTGCTTCGGTCGCGGTACAGCGGCCGCGCCGACAACCATTCGTCGCCGCTGGTCGAGCCGCCACCCCGTTCTCGGAGCAATCCCGTTTCGACAAGATCCCGGAAGAGAGACGGGTTGCAGGCCCTCACGTTCGCCATGTACTCGTAGCGGGAAACCATGAGGGCCGTGGGGTCTTCCTCGGTCTCGTCACTCCCTCCGTTCCCGATGGACAGGTAGCGCTCGCACACGTGGTCCATTACGTCTCCCCGGGCCGCTTCGTCGAGCGTTTCGTAGGGACCCCTACCCAGGACCGTCCACTGGGTCCGCCGGAGGGTCCGAGCGATGTTGGCATCCGCCCTTCGAACATACCAGATGATCTCGTGGCCGCACACCGCCAGATTGTGCTTGGAACCGTTGAGCCAAAAGTCGACCGTGTCCCTGACCCGCTTCTGTGAGGGGACGGGGTACCTTGCCACGTCCCAAGCGGTTTTCACCGCTTCTGCGCCCAGGCCCACCGCCGGCAGAACGACGCTGTCCCCCATCCCAAAGGGAACAGCCCACGAAATAAAGTCCGAGGATCCCTTCGTAGCGGCGGTCCGGATCCGCTCCGCCTCGGCGGATCGGAGAAAGGAGGCCGTTTCGCTCACGGCGTGCTCCGCCACCCCAAATGTTGGGAGCAGCACATAGTCCCGGACGGGGACCAGCAGGCCCTGGTCGAGTCCCCGCACCCCCGCCTTAGAGGCTTCGTAGATGCCCGCCACCGAGCGGTTGGAGGCGACGACCGCGTTGCGGATCCAGACGTAGGCGTCTTCCCATCGATCCACCGCGGTTTGTGCCGCTACGATCCCGGATTCGTTGGAATCCCAGAATTGCTCCTTGGTGGCACGGGCTGCCGTCCGCGCTATGGATGTGAGCCGACCGTTGTTTCGATGCAAAGGACGGGAAGACGACGACGATACAGAGTTGGGGGAATCGTTCTGGTCCCTCTGCCGAGACAATTCGTCGACGTCCGTCGATTGGTCCGGAGATGTTGTGATGGACAATCGCTGCTCCAGGTCGGGAATGACCACGTTTGGCATCTCTGGCGTGGATTCGGGAGTTTCTTTGGTGTGATTGCTAGCGCTGTGAGGCAAGCCGCCGCTTCGTTCCGTAGGTTCTCCAATGGTCATGCTCCGAAAGGATAGCCGCTACCGCCGAACCATAACCGCCAGGGAACTACCAAGCGTGCGATTTTGAAGCCAAAACTCGTGGGCGTTCGAAATTCTTTTTCGGGTGTTTGAATCGCAAGCTCGCTATCAAGGTTTATTCCAAATATTTAAAGACAGTGGCCATATCACAGCTTGCTGTCCGGCAACCTGATCGAGAGATCTCTGAATTCTCAACGTTTTTTCACCTCCCATCAACATCGAACCCGAAGAAGAAAAAATAGAATGCTAACTGGCCAAACAGCGCCGTTCCGTTCCGTACAGAAAAGTATCGTATTTGCGGTAGGTTAATTACTTGTACCGTATCGTACGTGGAAATTTAGTACGAGTGAGAAGCATTTTCAGCACGCAGTAACGTCCGTTGCAGATGGAGAAAATGCGACAACATCCACTGCAGAGGTTCATCGTTTCTGCCTACCGGATGACGCGTCAAATTTGTTGAGTATATTTAGCGCTTCTACATACTCAATGAATGTATCATACATAGGTAGGATATTCCCCCCTTCGAAAAATCCAGAATACCAAATGCACTAGTCTCACAATGCCAAATTACTCACGTTTCGGTTCAAAATTTTCCACGTTTGAAAGATGACAGCACGAGATTCATTACGTCTGTGCTACCGTACAGTACAGTATGGTACTACTCGTAACATACCGGTACGTTTCGATAAGTTCGTTACGTACATGCGTTGCAAGTAGTAGCGCTACGTAGCGAATTCGTAACTCCTTTTTGGCATGGGTACTTGTACTCGTACTCGTACGAGTAACATACTGCAACACGCACGTTGGATCCATCAGCAAAATATGGCAGGGATCACGGATACGGATTCCGTGCGGCAGCAACTGGATTCTGTCCCGTAAGTACGATTCATACTACTGGTAGTATTTGTACACGCGGCAAACCCACTTGGCGTAAATCCATCTCTCGAAAACAGCTCACACACCTCTCTTTTGGGGGACACAAGGTTTCGGACCTTCTTGCCCGCTGATCGATCGAGATTGATTTTGGGTGATCGCAACGTCCCTTTCAATAAGCAGAAGCGACCTGCACATTATTTCTATCCTACTATACTCAAAGTAGATACCAAGCCAACGATCAGCCACCCGAATCCATCCACCTACCAGCAAGAATTAAGCCATCATGAAGCACGCGACACCATTCTTACTGGCAGCCATCGCTGCCGTTGCCTGTCTGTCGCTCGGGACGGAAGCCTTTGCCCCTACCTCGGTCGTTTCGGCCTTCCGGGCACGAGTGTCCTCCACGGTAGTGGTCCGGGAAAGCAACGGAAGCGATAGCGAAGAGGAATCGCCACCGGAGCCCGCCGAAAAAATGTCCCTGGAAGAAAAGATGAAGAGCTGGGAGGCCACGGACGAAGAACTCCGGGCGGCGTCCCTGGGCGGTGTCATCCCCCAGCCCAGGGAGCGGACCGAGGCCTTTGACGTTGGCCTCTACATTGCCTTTCCCATCATGGTGATCACCGGACTGGCCTTTGCCGTCTTTCCCTTCATCATGGGAAACATCGACGTCAGCGATATCGAGGTTCCCAGGCAGTAGTGCCTTGAGTGCTATGAACCCGCAACACACACCGACAGACGGGCATCGAACAACAACAATCTTGTAAACTATTGCAATTGCCAAGCTAGTACTCGCTGTGTTCAATACAACAATCGACAATTCAAGAAAAAGAGCGCTTGCGTTTTTTTTTCGCCCTTTTTGAGATAGTAGCACGACATATCCCAGAAACTATCTATTATTTTAAAAACCTGCTCCTAATGCTTCAATCTATTCTTCGTCGTATATTGTCGTCGTAGCTATAGTCAAAGGCAAACACGATATCATCGTCGTAGTCTTCCCCATCCGAATCGCTTTCGTCCGTGTTCGCTGTGCTTCCAATGCCCCCGCTTCGCTGTTCCCAGACACTCCGGTGCCTCTGGGCGGTTTTCAGATAACAGTGGTCCAGCCGAAGCCGTTCCGTAGCTGACAACGCGTCGTTAATAAATTCCATGGTTCGCTCCTTCCTGGCCATGGCGGTGGCTAGCTCGACGGCGTTCCCGGGGGGAAACTTGTACTGGAGCCACATGAACAAGTCCACGTCGGAATAGATGTTGCACAGATACGACAGGTCGTCGAACGATCTGGCCTTTCTCGGCACCGATCGCGAGGGCAAACCAAACACCTCGTTCTGCGACACCTTTGTGGCAAACATCTCCAGGAGCCTTGCGGAACTTTCCGTGGTGGGGCTCAGGCACATGGCGTAGGCGTCACGGAGCCGGATGGGGATGTTCCTGAGTCGCTTGGCGATCATGGCCATCTCGGTCTGGCGGCCCAGAAAATAGTCACCCCTGACAGTCGCCATGGCACTAAATTGCCGGAGAATCTCGTGCAGATCGGGGTGGTTGGCTGGGTCGGTGGCGTTTTGGTCGCCGGGATCCTCTCCGGCCGAAGCCGCGGAAACGGCCTCGGCGAAGAGTTCGATGTGGGACTCGGTAGGCAGGAGGGCGGCCTTGCGGAGGGGCTCGATCTCGGTGGAGAGACACTTGCGCAGGTATCCCAGGTCGCGAACATCCCGGCAGGTCACCTCGCCGTTTGGGTAAGGCGAGTTTCTGCGCCCGGCCCGCCCAGCGATTTGCTTGACGTCCGAGTGGCCGAGCCGAACGATTTTTTCTCCGTTGAACTTGAAGATCGAGTTGAAGACGATCCGTTTGATGTTGAGGTTGAGGCCCATCCCGATGGCATCGCTGGCCACGAGGACGTCGTAGCCGGAATCAGGATCGTTGAACCTTCTCGCCTGGTCGGCGCGGGTCTGGGGGGGAAGTTTTCCGTAAATGACGCAGCACCGGTGGTCCGTCAGCGACTCGATCTCTCTCTTGATCGCAAAAATATCGTTCCGGCTAAAGGCCACGACGCAGTCGCCTTTTTGAACGTTTCGGTAGCTCCCCGTTTTCGTCGGGTTCTTCCCGAGGCTTTTCTTCGAGACCTTCAGATCGGAAAACCGCTGGTACCGATGCAGCTCAAAGTCGTCGCCACAGGCTTCCGCAAGCTTCTGGACGATGCCTGCGGCTTCCAAACCGCCACACACGTGAACCTCCTTGCAGCGCAAACCAAGGAGCGCCTTGGTCCACGCGGATCCGCGCGTAGGATCGGAAATCATCTGGATCTCGTCGATGACTACCACATCGTACTCCTCGTTGACGTTGCACATCTCGACTGTTGCGGCGGTGTGCGTGCTAAAGGCGATTTCCCGCCGTTCCTGGCCTGTAAAGAGGTTGGTGTACAAGCCCTCCGCGGTCAGGGTCTCGTAGATCTCGGCGGCCAGCAACCGTAGCGGACCAAGATACAGGCCCTTCTTGGCCTCTTTCAGACGCTCCAGCGCAGAATACGTCTTGCCGGAATTGGTGGGCCCTCCGTGAAAGACAATTTTGCGACGGTCCAATCGTGCATAAGAATACCACTCGTGGGGTTTCGTCAGGTCCGTCTTGGCATCGAGCAGTTGGTAGTGCTGAATCGATTGGGCGTGCCGTTTTTCGATGTGCTTCGCGAAATCGCGGCAAATGGAATCCTTGGCCTCGTCCACCGCTGAACGGGCGCGTTCGTATTCCTCTAGGGAGAGGGGGGATTTCGAGCAAGCCATGGTCTCCTCGGCCTCGCGGAGTTCGGTGGTCACACTGTCGATCTGTTCTTGCAGTTCCTCGACGGCTTCGCGTTTCCGATCGATGCGTCGTTCGATGCGTCGCACAAGCCTACGGTGTTTCTGGGCTGCTTTGTCGTCAAACGAATGTAATTCCCCGGCAGCGGCATTCGCTGCAGACTCGCTCGAGTGATCATCGTTGCTCGCCAAGAGACTATTGCGCTGTGTGTGTTTCGGTAGACCGAACGGGTGGTCTTCTACAAAGTTTTTAGTGTCTCTTTCCTTGGTCTCGATGAGTTTATCCGACACTCGGATCCCTGAGCCCCCCCAAATTAAGGATGTAATAGACTCCCATGCACTCTGAAATAACGTCCTTTCTTTCGTAGGAGCCGTACCAGAAGTCATCGTTTCGTTTAGTTGGCTATCCGCATTATTGCGCATCCAGTGTTCGCTTTTTGTTCGTAGCTTCTTCATTGTATTATTCCTTCGCAGTCGATCCTTTCTTTGTCTCCGTTTCTCTCGTTTCTCGGCTTTTGATATATTTTTCAGTTCACTGCTTGAGCTTTCCACCGCAAGGAAGCCCGTGTTCGGGTCCATGATGGGAGTCTCTATGAGTGTTGCCATCGTTGCTGGTGATGCCACTTCCGACGATGGAATTCTGTTCGTGGCCAAATTGGTTTCTAGAGAGTCGAGGCTCTTTCGCAACTTAGCCATGGCTCTACCGAGTTCTTCCAGCTCGGTAGTGTACTCATCGATGGATCGTGCCAGCTGATCTTGTTGTGCTTGGAGCCTCGGAAACTGTTGGAATCGTTGTCTCCACTTGGGATCTCCAAAACCCACGGTTTTCAACAGTTCCAGCATGGTTTTCTTCGTTTCCTCGTCGCGTTGTAGCGTCGTGTTCCTATCATTGCCATCCATACATTGGTGATCCTTTTCTTCCTCGAGATGAATATTGATGTATTCGGGTATCGACTCGTGATAAATGTTTTGGTATTGGTCCCATACGGGTTGGAGAGGATGCGAGCCGCCGTCACTGTGACCATTTATCGCGAAAACAGATTTTCTACTACTGTCCTTTCCATTCCTGTCACGATTGCGGCTGTGGTGGTTGCCATTGTTTCTATTGCCATTGATGCTGCGATTGGGCCGGAAATTCAGGTCCAGTGCTTCCACCGTGGAAAGAAAAAAGGCCGGATCCCTGGACAGCCAGTGTTCAACGGCCCGCCACACAGCCCTCCGTTTCTTCCTCTCGACCGCTGCCGCTGCCGACACTTCTTTCTCCGAGGGCGGCGCGCTTCGCTTCCGCCGTCTCTCCAGCCGAGCGAGGACCGAAGCCTGGGCGGCGGCCACCCGGCGATCGTGTTCTTCCTTCCCGGAGGAGAGTGGCTCCGGCCCCGGAGAAGAAGACGGTGACGACAGGCACCGCCTCGCACCGATGGTCCGGTCCCCCGGTGTCGGAATGGTGCGAGACAGCAAGAGCGCTTCCCCGTGGGCCAACGGCCGACGCCGCTGCCGAAACGGAAACGTCCCCGCCGACAGTGGACGGCAGCGGATTCCGCTGGCTGCCGGGACAAGCCCGCACCTCGCTGTGCCTCTGGAACCCACCCTCGCCAGCAGGCGGCGCGATGCCGACCCCCCGCCCATGGAAGTGCTGGGAGTCACTCGCAGCACCGGCCGGTTTCCTAGAGAGCGCTCGTTGCAATTTACACCAACGCAGAGTGCAACCTACTGTTTGTTGTGGGGTGTGTTGGAATGTTTAGCGGTGCGGTGTTGGTGCATTCCTGTCTGCAAAAGCATGTTCTGTTGTGTTTTGTCCGCTTGTTCCACTGCTTTTTGAGACCTCTGTCGGACCTAACGACGGGCCATGGTTCCGCGAATTCGATGGTCTGTGTCTGGGAGAATAATTCTCGAATTGGACGAGGGAAGATAATCGTTCCTCTACCTTACGTCCAAGAATGAAGAATCACGGTGATCATCATCGCATCACGCTAGAAAATAATGACGAGGAATTTGAATTTCGACCTTCTGGAAAAAGAAACGAAACTAATTTAGTTTTTAGTTTGTGATTGGTTGACTCTGACTCGAGACTCGACTACATACTCACTATCTAATCGAGTTATCGTATGTACATATCGTATGTACCTGAAAAAGATGCTCGTTGACTTCACTTGTAGCTATCGGTGCGTAGCCTGTACAGTTGTACAGTACGTAAGGTGGTGACGACAGTAATCCAATTTTTGCTCGGTCGAGCACGTGTCGGAGACCCTAAGTAATCGAAAAAATGAGGGTTTGAAATAGGCTCAACGGACGAAAACGTCAAGTGGTACTCCGGTACCACTCGATGGTACTCCGGTACCATTAGATGGTACCGTACGTACGGTACAGTATAAAATCTGTATGCAATATCGTATCATACAGTACAGTACAGTACTATGTACAGGTACAATTAGTATCAATTTTCCAGTACAAATTCCAGCACTCCTCCAGTACTCTATTTTTTGTTACTCCCAGAAGACACCAGTACTCACTACAGTAGGGACCACAGTATATGCAAAAAATGAGCTAAAATTACTAGTTTGCAGACTTCTTCCTTGCCAGGAACCGCACCCCCATGAATATTGAGGCTACAGACGACCTAAAAAGAAARATTTTCACTATGAGGGAAAGGCGGTGGTGGATACCTTSCTCCTCTTCGTGAAGAACCAGCTGGGCGACTAACTTCAGTGATTTCGATATCTGGATCATTAGTCTCAAAAAAGGACCTGCGATCAAAAGAGTATCGTCTAGGAATCCTTGTACTAGCCAAACTACTAGAATGAGATTCCAACTGTAGAGGGTCGTCCCAGGCACCACGATCCTCCTGATGGCGAGGATCATAGGAGGAGCGGTGGTGGTAGCTGTTTTCACCAAAGGAAACACGACGGTGGTCTTCTGGA